AATTTCTTCTAGAATTTTTCATACCATCGATCATTACGGTATTTAGTATTTCCATCTATGGAAATATCCCTGACTGTGTTCATTAAGGGGGTTACACTTATCAAAAATCCAAAAATCCCTTAAAATTATGTGTCAATCCCTTGATTTTGATAAGTGTAACTCCCTTAATGAATATTCACGAATATGATGATTGTGATCACTAAAAAGTTAATGGATATCATTATTGATACTGGTGGTGGATCTCTTTCACAAGATATGACAAATAATTTTGTGAAATTAGTCATTCCAGGATTTTTATCACCATATTTTTTTGTCCAAGTTTTTCTCATTGTTTATGTAGGTGGTGGTTACTATATATCAAGAAATTTAGCTGATTTTGATATACCAACTTCAAACAAAGAATTACATAAAATAATCAATATTGTTAGAATCATGTTACAAGTTAAATTAGGCAGTATCTTAACACAACAATATTTAATAAATTCATAAATATGATTTTTACACTAATTTTTTTTGTTTACTTTGCAGAAATTATTAGACTTAACTATACAACGGTTTGGGGCTTTAAAAAAAAAGACAACAAATGATAGGTTTGAAAGTGGAAATATTATAATTAATAATAAATTAAAGGAGTTCAAATCACCACACCATCACCAAAAAAAAAGGAAAACCTGCCATAACAAATCATAAAATACAGCATTGCACAATTGATAATATTAATATGTGAATTACTTGCTAATTGAAATTGCTAATTTAAAACATGACATTAATAAAATGTTCTTTAACTCAAAATTGTTTCTTTTTTTATTAAACTGACCCATATTGATACCCTGTCTAATAATTATTTATTATTAGGTTTTGTTGCAGTATGCCCCATATGTAAAATTCATTCGGGAAAAATAATATGTTATTATTGATTTTTAATTACGTGACAGATTTTATTAATATTAGTATCACCATTTTTATTGGCTGAAACTTGATTAAATATTTTTGCAGACAGTTGCAGCATTTGACATCAAAAATTTTTTGGGTTGCAACCTCCTGAGTTGCAACTTCATAGTTGTAGAGCCATCTTTATATACCATGTAAATGCAAATATTATAGTAATAATATATTAATGTACAAAATCAACATCTTGCATTTATTGTCATCTTTTCCTCTTCTTGACATCATTATCTAATCATTATTATCTATGTTGGAATAAAATTATGATTAGTAGATAAATAAATAAATAGATAAAAAATGTAAACATAAATTATTAGCAAGTGTAGAATAAAATTGTTTCGTGTTGTAATAATAAATAAAGAGAATTAAATTAAATTTCTTACCAATATTGAGGATATGAATCAATCTCATCTCAACGTGAAAAAAAATTCGAAAAAAAAATCAGAGCTCAATCACAAAAAAAAGAAAAGTTATAGTTGGAATGAAACATTATAATGGTATTGATTTCAAAAATTTTATTGAAAAAATAAAAATAAAAATGGATAGTAACTTTGCATTAGGTTTTTTTGCCCAGAGATTTCTGTCTTTTGTTTTGTAATTGTACATCCTCATTCTGCTTTCTTTTTTTAATGTTTATTGATTTTCTTTCTTCTTGGTAAATTTCATATGCAATCCTTTCTTTTCTTAGATAAGCTTCTAATGCCTGATTATCATTTATTTTGAAAATACAGTGAACCCTTGTTTCAACAAAGTATAATTAAATTTTTGATACAACGAATTTTTAAAAACGTTGTTACACATATGAAAACATATAAAAATTCGTTGAAACGCGATTAGTAACCTTGTTTCAACGAATGTTGAATAAAATTTTCTTATATGTCCAGCCACTTCGTTGAAACAAGGGCAGACTGTATAAGTTGCAATTTTTTCACCTTGTTCCTTTTTCAAAATACTTCCAATGGTGCTGTAATTCTTCGGTTCCATAGTAGACCTGATGTAATTAACTTCATATTATTATTTTTATATAGGGGTGGTTCTATATATCACTTAACAAATGGGACATTATAAAACTAATTGTGATTAATAACTAAATTTTGACCCCTGAAATCCTCACGTTCACTTTGTCTGGTTTTGTTGCAGTATGCCCATATAAGTAATAAACATTTATTTTAATATTAAAATTGCACATGGCTTTATAATAATAATAATAATAATAATAATGTATACTGACTGGGATTCTAATAATAATAAATAATAATCCCGTTATAGAGTGAAACTGTATTCAGCTTTTACTTTATATTTACAATTTAGTTTTGTTCTTTCCTTTTAGTGCCACCAAAAAAGGTTACATTAAAAACTTACAGGAATCCATATGATAAATCAAACAACAGTAACAGCCAAAATGACGAATATGAAGAGGCGATTCAAAAAAAAGTCTAAACCAGAACAAGACATGCTTCTAATGGACCAACTTATAGAATGAGTGGATGATGTTGGATCAATAAGTACTAGCAGACGCCTCAAAATAAAGATCGTATTATAAGAGAACCTTCTATCATTGGAATCATAATACACCACTTTGGCAAGAAATATGGAAAATATAAGAGTTCATGATAATGTTAAAAGAATGTCTCAATGGAAAACAAAAATGACAATTGACGGATATTGCTCAGGCTGTAAAGGATTTTCTTGACAACTATGCTGAAGTCCATGGGTTATCATCAAGCCTAGTACTAGGAAAAAATTTAGTCGCTTATATTCCTGTCGCCAACAGAAATGAGTCATAAATCAATCTACAGAGATTTTCTTACCGGCCTGGAAGAAGATAAGCATTTTTAAATCTCTCAAGCGTGATGCATTCACAAATTGTGGCATCAATTAATTCCCCAGATTCGAATTATATAAGTCCCAGGACAGATGTATACCTTTGAAATAGATCGTGTCAGAAAAATTATAAGAAGAAAAAGAAGACATACTAAAGAAATAAAAGAACATCTACAAAGAAGAAAAGAATTTCTTACTAAAATTGGTGACACAATGAGTAAAATCGATTTGCTTTTTGGTCCATTTATTTGGCAATTTTATTTATAAAATCATTTGTGTACGCGCAATGAAATCACCACATTGGATGTTTCATTTATTATTACTGGCACAAAACGCAAGCAAAATCAACTTTTTATTTCCTTATTTGTCTGCATGATCTAACTCAAATAGAATTTACAAATTTGGATAACGTACACAACATAATTAATGCAAAAAAAAAATAATTTAATATATAAAATAATATAAAATTTTTAATTAATTTGGTCAAATAACATCATAAATAATTATATTTTCTCTCGATAATTTCCCTCTCTTCCCTTCCTCCTCTTCTTATTTTCCTTTTTTCTCTTGCTGCTTTCTACTTTTTACTTTCTACTCTCGTTCTCTTCTATTGTTTGTCACTATTTCATTTTTTTATACCTTTTTTTCTCAAATTTTTTCTCCCACCTTTTTTCTGCTCATAAAATATATAGATTTCAGCCTGATCTTATCGATACTTGGAAAAATTAATAGACTATAAAATATCAATAATAATTAATAAAAATAAAAATAATTAAATATGAGTAGAGACCGTACTGGTGACATGAATGTAAGTTTTCATTTTTCTTTTAAAAAGTATTTAAAAGAAAACAATAGTCGGTCTTCTTCATTCCTCCCTAGAAAAAGAAGGAGTTAGCTATAACATTATATATATAATATAATCAATCATTAATTATTTATTTTTCTTAATTGGAAAAATAAGGGACAATATGGTGGTGGTGGTGCATATCAACAAGGAGGGTATGGGGGTGGTCAACAACAACCACAATATGTTGAAATGGCTCAAATTGGCCAAGATGATGTAGGCGCATTTTTTGATGAGGTAATGAAGATTATTTATTTATTCAATTATCTAAAGATGCATCTATTTATGAAAATAATTATATTATTATTATATATTCATTATACAATCACTTTCATTTGCTCGTGCTCAATTCTCAAACTACACACACACTATATATATATTAGGTATCATCAATTTCAGATATGATACGTGAAGCTCAAGCAAATATAAGCCAGATAGATGAATTACACTCGCGTACTCTTGGTACAATAGCTGAAGATGAAATGATAAAGGGTCAACTTGAAAGTATAACATCAGAAACAAGAGGAATTCTTACACAAATAAAAGATAGAATTAAAAAATTGGAAGCTTCAAATTTGAAGCAAGCTAAATCTGGCGACATAGAAGTTAGAAAAGCTCAGGTGAATTAACTACTTGTTACTATTATATTTGTTTGTTTGTTTGATTCTTAATTTGTTTATTTATATATATATATCTACACTTACATACATATATATATAGACTTCAAATTTACGTCAAAAATTCATGGAAACTTTACAAAAATATCAAAATGTTGAATATCAAAATAGGCAAAAATATCGTCAACGAATGGAAAGACAATACAAAATTGGTAAGTTATGCATTTCACATTAAATAATATTTATTAAATATACATATAAAATATAAAATATATCAAAGATATTAATTCAAATTTTTCTTCAACTCTCAAAATATATTAATTAGTTAAACCTCAAGCAACACAAGAAGAAATTGATTCTGCCATAGATAATGATGACGGTGGACAAATATTTGCTCAATCAGTAATTACAATTAATAATTTATCATATATTAAATATTTTTTGGATATATATATATATACACACACACTTACAAATATTTGTATTTGTAGTTGATGAATTCAACAAGATTTGGAGCAGCTAAAGAAGCTCTTAAAGAAGTACAAGAACGTCATGATGATATTAAAAAGATTGAAAAAACAATTGAAGTATGTAATAAATTAATTGTATTCTTTTTTATATATTATATATATACACTTATTAAATAATTGTTCCATCAATCATTTTGGGTTATCTAGGAACTTGCTAATCTTTTCCATGAAATGTCAATTATTGTTGAAGCACAAGACCAAACAATTGTGGCTATTGAACAAGAAGCTACACAAGTCAGTACTAATATGGAACAAGGCGCTCAACACGTAGATAAAGCACTAACTAGTGCAAGAGCTGCAAGAAAGGTAATAAATTAATTCGACTTTGTAGTAATTATAATAATAATTCTTAATAATATATTTATTTTTTCTTCTCACTTTTCTCTGACATTTAAAATAGAAAAAATGGTATTGCCTTGGCATTGGCATAATACTTTTGATTGTTTTAGCAATAGTCATATACTTATTTGTTATTAAACCAATGTTGGACAACAAAAAACAAAAATAAGATATGCGACTATAATTTTAATTTTGGATGTAAAGGCATACAGGACATATGAAAACAATAGATTTAATTATTTAATAATAACGATTTTTTCTTTTCCTTGCAAATTCATTTATTAATTGATAGAAAAAAAAAATTGTAAAATAATAACAAAAAAATTTTTGTATCAAATTAGTTAATATGTTCTCATTCTTAATTTATTTTTTTAATTAATATTAAATAATAATAATAATAATAATAATAATAATAATAATAATATATAGTAATAGTTATTTCACATTATGTATGTTTGCGCGCGTGAAAAAAATCTTTTTATTGATTTATTTATTTTTTTTCGATCGTTTATTTTTTTTTCTTAAAAACAAATAAATTGAGAGATCAATAAATCATATATTTATTATAAAGCGATGAGTTTAATTTTTTATTCTTTCCACTTTAAATAATAATTTATTATGGAGCTGCTAATAACAATGTTTCAAGAGTTCCATCATTTTTTGCTGCTACTAAATCATCACATCCTAATTGTAATATTTAATTAGTCATAATAGTTATTCATATTATAATATCAATTTTATTTATTTATTACCTCCAATATGTTTATTTCCTATAAAAATATTTGGAACAGTGGATTGATGTGTTTTTTCTTGAAGATAATTTTGAATTTGATTTCCATTACCTATTTATTATTTATTTTATTATTATTATATTCTCTCATATCATAATAATAATCATAATAATAATTATAATAACAATAATAATAGACATTTACCAACTTTATCCAATTCTAAAACGTGATACTTTTTGCCACTTCCATCCAATATTCTTTTAGCTTTTGCACAATATCCGCAATAAGTTTTACTAAACATCATAATATAATTCTCACTTATAAGTTTCTAGTATTGTAATTATTATTATCATCAAAAAAGAAATACGGGTGAGTAAGAAGAAATAATTAATGTAATTAAATAATAAAATGCGATCAATAAAATGATATTTACTTCAACTAATTCTTTAATTGCGTTACTCATTTTTTTTCGACAATTAATTTTTTCCCGCATATCATTAGTGCTGATCCATTTATTTTAAACATAGTTACGATGCAAAAAGTAGATCATTTTTTTTTACTGATGATGTATATATTTCATAATAACTTATTTTTCTTCGAAAAAAATTTTTATTTTATTTTTGCTATATACTCGGAAGATAGAGACCACAATTTCGTCAATACATATTAAAGAAGTGAGAAAGCGTGCTGAAACATCTAACCAATTCAACAAGCAAAATTGCATGAGTATTCAAAATTATAGATAATTTAAAAACTGTTAGCAGTTGATAAGCATTTTCTTTCTATTATCAACCACCCTTGCTAGTGCTTTTTCTTATTCTAATTTGTTTTATTGTGTACAGGTCAATGTCATTGAAAAAATTGATAACGATAATTCAAGTGATGATGAAAATAAGAACAATGATGCCATTGGGGAGAATAACGATAATTCAGATAATAAAGAAAATGCAAACGATGAATATTCAAAGGTTTTAGTTGCTATAAAACATGCACATGACAATTCATTATCGAATAAGTATGTACAATTATCTATTATTTTTTCTTGAAATTCTGAGTTTTCATTGCTAAAGTCTTTTCATAATATTATTTTAGCCCATTGTGTTGGGGGATTGTAGATTTCCGCGTCAAAGATGTTGGATCTTGCCCATTGAATAATCGTGCTTCACAATTTTTCTCTGAAAATAGTATTCAGGAAATGAAAAAGATAGCTGTTGATACTATTAAGAGAGAATCAGGTCTCAATAATTCTGCCAAATCGTTTTTTGAAGTTATTGCACTATCAACCAGCTTCAGTCTACGCAAAATTGCAAATTGCAAAAGAACCAGTGGGGTTTCTGGTGTATTGTCATTACTATGTGCAAGAAACCAAGAAAATCAATTAATGCAATCTATTAACAAAACACTCTGCACTTCTGATCTTGCCACTGCACAGAAATTGTACGAGCAACTTGGGAAGCTATTAAGACAATGTTTCAGTCAAAAGATGACGAGCTAGTAAAACAAATAGATATTCATGATATGGATACATATTATATTGTAGAATGTTTTGATATTACGTATGCATTGGCCTATTCGTTCTCATCATTTGTGTGCGTTTGTCAACTTGAACAAATAGTAATCTTTGTTAATCCTTTTCTAGTGATGTGTGGATACAGTATTATAATGGTACAAGTAATTCTGAACACACGGTAGATGTTCACCTTATTGCACCATTTGCTAGGACGCCAAATATTTGTTTTTTGTAGTAAGTATCATTAATTTTAATTCTTTAATCACTTAAATAATGTTTAACATTAATCATATCCTCCTTAGGGGTGAAAATCATTCTGAGGAGGATAAAGAAGAAAAATCTGTGCGGTCCGAAACACAGAGATCAGGGAAACCATGCGACTTCATTTTTATTGTAGGTATATGAAAAAAAAATGATGCAATATGTATGTTTTTTATCTAATAGCAGGATTTTATAATATACAAAATAATAGTTATGAAGCCGGAATCGGTGAAAATTCTGGTCCTATGTGTAAGGATAACCATAGTAAAAGTATCTCAAATTTTATCGACATCATGAAAGTAGCTCGAGCTCAACATATTTTACTTAGATCCAGGGTTGGCAAATTGACTGGTCCATTGAGAACTGATGGACTTTGAGCTGGTCCATTGCCATTAATAAAATACTAAATATAGTTAAAATGTTACACTAATGGACCCAATAGACCATCAATAGACCACCAATGGACCACACATTTGCCAACCCTGCTTAGATCCAAGTGTATTGAGGAATCTAATTGTAACCCACTGCCAGGTAATGTCCAGAAAGTCCTCAAGTCCGTGGTTATACCATTTTTTCACGTTATTGGATTTAAAATTCGATTTTATATCTTATTTGAGATATCAGGAGATCTTTACGGATTTTTTGAATGTGCTACTCAGAACATTCCAAAAAATGCTAGCATTATTGATATCATTTTTCTTGCAAAAAGATTTCTAATACATAGGGTGTGTGTATTAATTATATTTTTCTAATTAATTTCTTTAATATAACTAATAGTGCTTTTCACAATTTGGTTAATAACGCAGGATGGCTAGGGGAATTGGCAGTGAGAAAAGCAAAATTTATTGGAGAAATCGTAGAGCCAGTTTCTGGGAATAGGGTTTTTATTCATGAATATCATGAATATCATTAAGGTGGTTACACACTATTAAAACAAAAAATCCCTTAAAAACATGAGTTGATCACTTGATTTTAATAGTGTGTGACCATGTGTGACTCCCTTATGATATTCATGAATACAAAACCTATCTGGGAAAAGGGCTGAAAAATTGGAAAAATTCGCTTCACCTAAATCTAAAAAGTAAGTTTTACAATTAGTGAATTATTCATTGTTCTGTGGTATGAATGCTAATCAACTTTAAACATGTTTGTAGACAAAGATTATCATCACATCCCAAGTCACCTACACCAACATATTCGATAAGTGAAAAGAATGATGTAGATTTATATCAATGGGCCCAGGATTATGATTCATTAGATGAAAATCAATAAGAATGATAAAAAATTAGACTTGAATAACGGAATTTATTTTTCATATTGACTTGGGTGACATTTTTTCTATATAAATGTGATATTTGTTCTGCAGAATTTATTTGATTTTGATTTATTTGTTTGGCAAAATAAATAAATCTATTCTTTCACATTGATTTCAAAATCATTAATCTCAGTATTATTGCAATTCATTAGACCAAGATACCTAAGATTTTGACATGAATGCGCAATAATACATACTGTGTCCTCACTCATTAAACAAAACATTCCAAGGTTGAGATATTCCAAATTAGGACACAAACGTGCTATTTTTCTGATAGCAGTGTTGCTAATATATCCACATTCAAAAAGATCTAGTCTTAATAGATTCAGATATGCATGAGCAATATTAATAATTGCAGTACCACTGATAGCTAGTCTACCTGTAGCATTGAAATTTAGATACACTATATTTGGACATGATTGAATAATTCCATTGATTTTATTATCTGACAAACTATTGCAAAATGAAAAAATAAGATTCCTTATGCTTGATCCATGGAATGGTTTCAAATTTTTACATATCTCTATAAACCTTGCTTGTCGCATACAATCCAATTCAATATGTTTCCATAGAATTTGTCCGCGATGCAATACCAAAACCGGTTAACATATAAGGTAGGATAAAGAGCTTTGTCATTTGCTAGATATTGTAAGATCGGATCTAAAAAGTCTACTAATTTGAAAGCTTAGATTGCATTTCTTTTCATTACCTGGGAATATATATTTAGTATCTAATGTTTTTCGTCATCAAAAAATTTATCTTTTTTCCTTGCATCTCGTATAGGCTTAATTACCACGAACCATATAACTGCAAGTATCAAGAAAGCAAGAATCGCATACATAAACATAGGCGAAAACAAATTACCTGCTACAATTGGCACTACTTCACCCCCACGGATAGGTAAAATTTCTGAGATGGCCCCTCCCGAAAAATTTTTCATCTCTGATGCTTGTGAGGAATTGATGGGAAACTCCACGTTAGTTGATTCTGGAATATTAGCCTTGATTACAGCGGAGCTAGTGCCAAAGCACATAGTATCACTAGACTTGGGAGTATCAATGTTTTCTGTCTGATCATATTTTTTCTACGTTTTAAAAACTTACTAAAATCTAGCTTAGTACTATGCATTTTCCGTGTTTAACATCCATACGAATTCACGGAAAATGTATGGAAAATGTACGGAATGCATTTTCAGGACATTTTTAGGACAAATATGTACGAAAAAGTGCTATTTTCATGTATAATTCCGTACATATTCCATACAAAATGCATGGAAAATGTATATCGAATATTCAAAATAATTGCAAGTATCCAAAATAGTTACGAATATCAAAAATAGTTATGAATATCCAAAATAGTTATGAGTATCCAAAATATCCAAAATAAACGAGTATTCAAAATAAAAACAAGTATCCAAAATAGTTACAAGTATCCAAAATAATTAAGAGTTTCCAAATAATTACGGAGTATTCAAAATAAACACAAGTATTTAAAATGAATATCCAAAATATCCAAAATATCCAAAATAGTTATGAATATCCAAAATAATTACAAGTATCCAAAATATTCAAAATAGTTACGAATATTCAAAATAATTGCGAAATAAATTACATATCCTTGAATAAATTGGTTTTCGAATATTCGTAAAAAATTTGATTTCAGTCAAGTACACTATTGTAAAGAACATTTACTTACTATTTTATTGGGAAAGTGTGCCTTCAGAACTGACAGCGCTTCTAAAAATAAATAATCCTATTTTTGATTTTAATTTAAATCAAAAACCCGTTGGAGAAATTTGTTTTTCTTGCCTAACAAATAATTGAAAAGCACCATTCCCATATATTGATCATTCTAGAAAAAAAAATAATACTTTTTCAGTATATTGTATTCCCTTGGTATTATTTTACAAAGTGATTGTATATAGCCCTTTTTACCCCAATGAATCAAAATTCGCTTGTTGTATAATAATAATAGTCATACAATATGTCCAATACAATAGCATAAAGTCCAATTTAATTTTGAGTTACATTGTCGACAAGATAATATAGAATTATTTTCTTTTTGGGAAAGTGTGCCTTCAGAATTGACGACACTTCTTCCACTTTTTGATTTTTAATCAATGTAAATTAATTAAAATTTTTCTATAAACCTACCCGTTTTTTTTTCTTGGTTTATTCAGACACTTTTTTTGTTACTGAGAAATAATTAAAAAGCACCAAACATTCTCATATTGATCATTTTCAGGAAAACTTTTTTATTTTTTTTTTAGTATATTGTTCCCTTAACAAAAACAATAAAATGCATAATGATTGTACAACCTTTTTTATCCCAATAAATAAAATAATTTTGTTTACTCCAGAAAAGAAAATAGTTTTCCAATTCCGGAGTTATTAATTGATTGGTCGAATCACAAATACATTGCCTATAAATACCAATAAAATAAGTCTATGAGAGAACTTTATCCATTATTCGATATGAACAAAGGATTTCTACTCAACCAAAACAAGAAAGTAAGATCAAGTTTATTGATTTTATTTTCATTCATTACACTTGTAACCGCGTCAATTGTTGACGAAACTTATGAACCTGAACAGGACGTGTACGATGCAATCATCAACACGCTCTTTCCGGTATTTTTGGTCGTCCTGTTCATTGTGAAAGGAGAATCTGGGCACATCAAGAATGTGCTGCTGCCACTACTGGATGACTTGTTATACAACACAGTCACTTGGGTGATTCCGCTGGTGGTTTCTTTTGCTTATGATGGTTTACAGAGTATGAAGATATTTTCAATCGTAAACATGGGTTTACATGTAACTTGCGCAGTATACACAATAATTAGGAACAAAACAATCAAAAATACACCTGGTTCTTTTACACCTATCTTTTTTTTCTTGGTGCTTTTCCCAGCTATAGTCATCACAACATTCTGGATTGTTCTTATTATATATGGAAGTCTTTTGGATCCAATTAGCTTATTATTCCTTGCATTATTTGGGATGTTGTTAGTTACAGAATTTTTTTATTTTATATTATTTGGTTTTGAGTTCTGTTTTGGTATCGGCCAAGTATTTAAATCAAAGTTCGGTCATATATTTTTTCCTGTATGGTTTTATCTCCCGAGTGTCCTGCAAACATTATTTATTGTGCTGAAATGGCCAATCGATTTTTACTTTGTCAAGACATGCATATTTATACTGGTTCTTTCTTTAGCAAGGAATTTGTACCTCTTTATAGATAAGGAGCCAGCATCTGATGATTTTTTGGCTACTTCAACAACATTCACTCAATTTAAACTACGCAAAACAATAAATGAAATAGTAAAGGAGAATGAAAGTCAAGAGGTGAATGAAACTCAAAAGGAAATAATCAAGGCAGTGGACAAATCAATGGCCGAAATGAAAGAATCAATAATGGCTGAAGTGAACAAATCAATGGCTGAAATGAAAGAATCAATAAAATTGAAAAATCAAGATATATTGGATGAAGTTGTGTGTGAAAAAGGTAGCAAATAAATAATAATGGTAGTTTAACATTAGCTTTCATTTAGAAATGACTATTGTTCTGGGTGACTTCGTCACTAACAGTTGTATTTATTTATTTACATTATTATATGTGTGTGTGTGTATATATATATAACAAATTTACAAATAAAAACATGGCCTAACCATATTCCCGATACAAATATTAATATATTAATATCTATATCCGATATTCGTAATAAAAAAGATCCAATTTTCATAAAATTCTCATAATATTTTATTTTGTAATCGCGTTATTTAAGGAGAAATTGAAGGATTCGTTAGTAGTGTGGTTCCATATTGCATGATTTTTTTTTTCTTTATTCTATATATAAAATCAAAGAAATAAATTAGTTATTCACTAATTTCATTAATTTCATATTTTATTATTTTATTTTTAAAACTAACTGATCAAATAATGCAACTCAAAACTTTAGATTGGACTTTGCTCATTTGTAAAGAACAATTTACTTATTATTTGCTAAGAAATAAATATATAAAGAAAATATTCCAAGCCTTGTATCTCATTTTTCTACTATGCAAACAGGGTCCAATTTTTTTTACCAACTGTAAATCCTTTATTAGAGATTATTGTAGAGTAAAAAGACAAAAAAAAAAAAAATAGCTGGAAGCTTGATTTTCCTAGTACAGACCCCAATATATATACACACATTACTATGATGGTACAAACTAATCTATATAGCCATAAAAGGTACAATTTTGATCTAAAAAGTGGATGAATCCATAATATTTTTGCTGGTAAAGACGTTTCAAAGGTAATTTAATAATAATAATTAAAAATCTTATTATAATTGCAAGATTGAATTAATTATATTAATAGATTATTATTATGATTTATTTAGGCACTTGGTATGGGTTGGTTCATTACAACCAGAAAATGTAATTGTAGGTTATAGTATTTTGGATGATAAACAAGTAATTGTCTTTATTTTTCACATACAACAATAATACTAAGGTCATGAAAAGATGAAACCTATTAAGGGAAAATCACATATTAATTCATTCTTTGATATTCGTTTATGGTTGTAATTGAGCGACGTTAGAGGTTTTGGTGATGATGATAGATTCACTTTTTTTTTTAAGAAAAATCTCTGATTTTTTGGACCCAATGATTGATGATCTTGTAAATCATGATGATCACACTAGAATTATTAGTTTGAGAATGTTTTTGACAGTGATCAAATTGGTAAAATGTGAAATAAATTAATCCCTTTAACTAACATTTTCTAAATATTTATAGAGTAAACCAATTTCCCTCGGTGTTTTACCAACATGCAATTTCAATAAAATTCACAGTCCTCCCATCTAACCCTGAAATTATGTTACATCATATCCTTCAGAGATCAGAGATTAAAATGATTTTAATGTTTTAATGTTATTAAATAAAGGTTTTAGATATCATTTGTGTTGTCCGTCTCTGTATTTCGTTCTTTGGCTTCAGACATTGTTTGTTAATTTTTTTTCGTAGACGCAATTCAGGAATGAGTCAATATGGAAAAGATATCTCTAAAGAATTGGTAATATTCATCAAGGGCCTTTCATGAAACTGTTCTAATGGCTTTCTATCTTGTAATATTTAATACCTATACATATAAATTAAAATCGTTATGTATTTTCTTTTAATTGAGTCAAAATAAATAAAATATTGCATTCTTTTCCTTTTGTTTTTATTTAATTCTTCTTTGAATGAGAGCACCGTCACAACTATTGTATCATGTCTATTGAAATATTCATGATGATTTTGCAATGCATTTGATGTTATTATTCATAATAAAGTAGCAACAATGCCTAAGACCATGCAAAAATGAAATAATACGCGTCTTTGATTTCGCAAAAATAAAATTCCAAAATTCTTTCAAAAACTACTTTTCTTCCAATTGTATACAATTAGAAATTCTAGATTCCTTAAAAATCATTCCCAGAAAATAAAACAAACAATATGTTAAGTTTAGGTGTATATTTAATAGAACCATTCTTTCTACGCCTATACAAGGTAAGGGACGGGTTGGCGCTGGGAATTGTGTCCAATGCCAACAATGACTTCTGGCAGCGAAATAAATCAAAATCTAGTTATATAGCTAGTTCTGATTATTTATTTATCTGAGAATTAGATGATTTTTGTGTAAGAAACTAAAATAATATGAACAAATTCGATGATTTCATACCTATAACCATGTTGATGTCCAAAAACCAAATTATGATGACATTCATACGCCAAGAATAGTTTTGATCTTGAAGATTTCAATGTAGAATTAGATTTATTAACAAAAAAAAACCTAATGAATTAATTTGACATATTTAAATTTTTCTCGTGCTGCAAAATCCATTTATTTGTATTCAAGATGAAATGAGGACTAATGTAATAGATTTCATTTATCTGTTGATAAGTTTATTAAGATAAAAATTGATCAAGAGAAAAGAAAAATTAGGAAAATGAATTAATAATCATTACAAAGATTGTCAGTGATTAACTTATGTATTTTTGGTGAAT